GCCGCCGGCCTGGGGCCCCCCGAAACTCAGGGAGAGGAAGGGCGTGAGGCGCACAAGGGCAGTCGGCGGCGCAGGGGCCCGGCCGGCAAGGGGCTCCAGCCACCGCGGACGGCTCAGAGCGGCCTCCCCCACGGGAAGGGCAGACGGGCCTCCCTGGGAGCGCAGCGGTCAGTCGCAGCGCTGTGCGCCAGCCCCACCCACGGTAGCCTGGGTCCATCCGCAGCCAGGGCGGGACAGTGACGGCACAGCCGACCCCCCTCCCCCACCACCCCTCAGCCGCAGGCCTCAGTGGGGTCCTCTCACCCCCGCACTCTGGCCTGTACCCCAGTACTTGTGCATAAGTAAAACAAATCTTTAAAAATGAAAGGACTGTTGTAGGGAGGGGCAGCGATGACCCTCAGAACATGGGCTCTGGGGGCAGGGGCTGCTCAAGGCTTCCGGCCAGGCTGGGGGGCACAGGGCGAGACTGCTGCAGCCTACCGGCCTGGGCGCCCTCAAAACCAGGCGCAGGTCCCCACAGCAGGAGCCCAGGCCACTGTGCCATCACAGCCCCCACACGTCGGCGGTGAAGTGGCTGCATGGCTGGCGAGTGGCCGAATCGCCTGCAGGCGGGGCCGCCGTGGCCCGGGGCAGGGCAGCGCCCACGGCTGCAGGCCACTGCCGAGGTGCCTGCACCCACAGCGGCTCAGAGCCCCCACTGGGCCCTGCCTCCTGCCCCTGGGCAGTGGGAGGTGAGTGGGCGGTGGGAGGTGAGTGCAGCCCATCCGAGCCGGTTTGGGGGTGTAGGATGTCAGAGGGTGGCACTGGGGAGAGCCGTGTATGCTCCCAGGCCTGCGGGGGTTGGGGGGGTGTGGGCTGCCCCACACCCCTGGCTCGGCCCCTATCACAGCCTGCCCAGCGGCCACCTTGGGGCCTTCTCGAAGAAGGATGGGGGTCAGCACACTGACCACACACGTGTCCCCTTCTCCCTCACGTCCTTAGGAACCCCGTTTTGCCTTTGCCCCCCCAGTTTTTTAAACACCTTTTGGGGCCTTGCCCTGCCCCCAGCCCGTGGGGGCTGACACCCCAAAGTTGGCCCCCCACGAGGCAGCTTCCAGCAACACATGCTGGGGCAGGCACCCTTCTAGGGCACAATGCAGCTGCAGCTCTAGAACCCCCATTCTAGAATGCGCTGACTTCCCCAGAGCCGCCTCCCCACTCGTCCTCCCCTGGCTCAGCCCTGGGCTCCCCTTGCCTCTGCCCCACCCCAGCACTGTTCACAGTCGCTTGTTCGAGGGACGCCGGTCCCAGCAGGCCTCGCCAGCCGACCCCCCCCCCGGGGTGCCTGGCCCCCCAGGCTCCGGCCCCATGAGGGGCAGCAGCACGCGAGGGCTGGGGCAGGGCGCCTTCATGGAGCAGGTGCAGGAGTGCCGGGCCCGCGGCTACCTGCTCTCCTCCAAGAAGATCGGCTCCGGTGCCTTCTCCAAGGTCTACCTGGCCCGGGCCACGCGGGAGCGCATCCAGCACAACCCCCGGCTGGCCTCCGACCTGCCGGGCAAGCGCCACGCCCTGGTGAGGCCTGGCTCCCGGCCTGCCCGGCCCTGGGCCAGACTCTGTCTGGGACCCGAGGGACACTGCCCTGCTCCCGCCGAGGTCAGGCTGCCCACACGGGGCACTGGGCTGTGGCCGGGCACAGAGGCGCTTCGTCCTCACAGGTGGCCATCAAGATAGTCTCCATCGCAAGCGCCCCAGCGGAGTTCTCCCACAAGTTCCTGCCCCGGGAGATCTCGTCGCTCAACGCCACCTACAAGCACCTGAACGTGGTGGGCACCGCAGGCCGCCCCACCCTGCCCCAGGCCCGCCACCCCTCGCTGGGACCTCCCACAGGCCGCGGTGCCCAGCGGGGGGCCTCGTCCCAGCACCTGGACCCCCTCTCTGGGGCTTGACAGGTGCAGCTGTATGAAACCTACCAGAACAGCCAGCGCTCCTACCTGGTGCTGGAGCTGGCGGCCCGCGGGGACCTGCTGGAGCACATCAACGCGGCGTCCGCCCGCCGCCGGCACCCGGGGCTGGAGGAGGAGGAGGCCCGTGGGCTCTTCTGGCAGCTGGTCAGCGC